ATGGGTTTATTTTAACTCTCTTTCTGGCCCTGTTTGACCTGCTTGGAGCAGGCCTCTCTGTCAAGCTCTGGGGCATACAGAACACATGCTCGGTTTCATGTGATAAAAACACAACTTAGTGGGTTGCAAGTCGGTAGGATCTTCTGCTTAAGAGGGAAGCTGGCTTAAGCTTCAAGGCTGCACACCACTCAGTGTAACTCCAGCCCTCTTCCAGTTAGCGGGACAGAAATAACCTAACTATCCATTTCCAGAACTGCAGATGTTTTCCCAGAGCAAAGATCTGAAGCCAGGATGAGTGATAAAACACTAAACCAGACAGACCTTGTTTTGTTTAAGATGTGTTACTGCACTAGAGAAAACATTTGGTGACACTAACATTGCAAAAAGCTACAGGTAAGCAGGAAGCTGGTAAAACTTCTGTGTAACACAGAAAGGATTTTATCTGGGAGACGTTTATACAAAAAAGAGTAGTCAGCCTGCAAAAGGTTGCTAACTAAAGCAGTGTCATTAGTTATTAGTTCCCAGAGGGCAGAATAAGTACATACAGGTTATGCCACTTGCCGTACATCAGGTCCCTTGGATGTCAGCAGGGTAGAGAGCTCATGCTGGGGTCAGAGCAGGCACAGCAGTAAACAAGTGACAAGCAATGAAGGTTTGCTCCACTCTGCATTTATAGCCAACATATGTGGTCAACTGATTTTATCTGTGTTCACGAAAGGTTGTGATTGTGGCATCTGGTGTTCTGTTGTGACACAGTAAAGAAAAAAAATAATTCCAAACATTTCACTCAACCCAATTAACAGTGAAGAGTACGTTAAAATCCTTCGAATTGGTGGGACATGAGGTAGAAATACTGTGTACAAGAGAGTATCTGAACTTCCCAAAAAGTTATCATCCATGTGGTCATGTTTCAGTGCTCTAAAATCCAGCACCTGTGGGGAAAGGGACAGGGGAAGGAGATCCTGTTTGTGAATCCTCCCCTTAAGGAGCTGGGGTCCCCAAAACTGCCCACCAAGCATCCTTACGGATGCCTGATACTACAGACTTAGGGAATGAATGAGTTTAAAACCTACAGGATGAGGAAGGAGCTACATTATGAAGCCATATTAGTACCTGAAATGTGAGCTCAGTAGTCAAGGGAGGATTCTGGCATACTCTGCTAAAAGAACCACCAGGAATCTCTAATGCAGTGAATGAATCAAGATCCAGAACAGTGGAAAAATGAATCTATCACTTAGTGACTTGCAGCATGTAAGGAGCTGAAAGCAACTGTAGTTCCTGCTTGTTATCTGTCACAGCCAAACATAAATTGATTGGGGTTTGGTGATGTGCAGTCTGGGGAAAAGCAGTGTGATGCAAGAGGGCAAGCTGTAAACAGCACATGGCTCAAATGCTGAACAAATGGAAGGAAAATATGCCCTCTCTAAAACTTCATAAAAGGAGTGGTGAACAGACAGCAGTAAATCAAAGATACCCAGCCTCTCAGCTCCACCCCAACACAAATATTTCCTTGGAAACCCCGCTAGAAACCCCAGCACATTCAGACTTCAGGCTAAAAAAAAATGCAGAAAAAAGAAACATCCAAAGTTGCCAAGAAGTTTCTGAAATCTAATTTAAACAACCTCAAGCTGACACAGGTTTCTCAGCTTTCCATGACTGAGCTTTGCTTTGGAGCTAGTCACAAATGGAAACATTAGGCAAAGGTATGGGATCTACAGGGTCAGACCCCAGTGAGCTAAAAAAAATAAATAGTTGCAAGTCCACAGTTAGTGATCCCAAATACAGCAAACAGGAAATAGTGGACAAGACACCAATACAGAGAGGGAGAAAGAACAAGAAATTGCCTGCGTATATGTGCAAGAGCACTTTCTGGTTTAGGTGTGAGTTTTCTCCAATCACTGCAGCAAAATGCTGCATACAGTCATGTTTCTGAAGTTCTGCTGGAGACTAACTTTGTAACACCAAAATACAAGCATGTGATAATTGTTTGGAGCCCTCCAAAGCTGGTACATCAGACCAAAGGGCAATACGGACTGCTGCATGTGTCCAAACGGCTGGTTCCTTATTGCCCAACTACTTTTCTTTGTTTCTACACAGCTCAGTCCTCTCATCAATAGTTGAAAAATATTTCTGACAAACAAAATTCTTGTTCTTTTCCATCTAAAGGCACAGCAAAGACACCTGAAAGTGGGCCAAATAAGGGGAATATACCTAGATCTGATCCAAGGCTGTTGCTACTACCAGGAAAAGTAGCTGTAAGTCACTAAGAGTGGGGTGAGCAGGACACACTGGCAGCTGGAAGGAGCCAGAGAAAGGAAGTGGGATAGACAGAAAAAGAAACAGTCACTGGCTGGAGCAAGCTTGGGAAGGCGGGGGGAGGAGTACTCAGGTGCCAAAATATGCAGTCGTAACCCCATGTATAAAAATTAACTTAGCAAGAACACTGTAAGAATATACAGATGTTTACATGCACACAAATACCCTGAATTGCAAATAAACTATTTCCAAGTAAGATTTTTTTAACTTCAATTTTCAGCAAATAATCATTATGTATCCACAGACCAAAATTATCTTTTGAAGGTTATAAAATAAGAGTCACATGTACCTTTTCTAGCCAAGAACACATCACCTTCTTCTCAAGGTAACTCTTTCCATTAATTGATTCATCCACTCTTTTCATTAACTGAGTCCTGACGAAGCAATCAAGTAAATGAAGCGGACACAAAAGAACGGACACTTCTGGGGGAAGACTTGGTTTCAGGAAGGTCAGTGGTAGAGCCGGTGGGTTTAGTTCATCATCTCAGAATACCTGCCTCAAATGACACCACTGAACCATTTCAATCTGTGGCTGCTCTGATATCTGTACCTACAGTTCTTTGTGGAGCTTCCTGCTTCCTTTTAAATGCACGTAAGAGTAAGAATAGACTAGGGCGAGACAGGCAGAATAGGATCTCCTATTTGATTTTTATTTAGTAGAGAGAGGAGTCAGGGCTTGGCTTCTAATTTTTATCCCCACAATGTAGCCCCCTATAGAGCCCCATGAGGACATTATCAAATCCCTCCCACATGTTCATCATGCAACTGAACAATTTGCAGCCAGCCAATCAACCAAGCTCAGGGGCTCAAGAGGTTCTGTGACCTTCTCCAGCATACACTCATAGCCCACAGCTAGAGTCATTTAGTACTGGTGGCTCCTCTCCTTCATGTAACACCATAGGTAGGCAGAGCACTTGCTAAGGCCAGCAACTAGCTCTAACTTTACTTCCAAATCACTTGAACTCCCATTTCTACCTCCCTAGAGGGTGACTTAAAGAGCAGAGTAGACATTTTCTCCCAGCCTGTCACTGGACATCTCTATAGTGGAAAAAATGATTGAGTGTGACCCATAGGTCTTGAAATTAAAAAAAAAAAAAAAAAAAAAAAAAGCGAGAGAGAGAGAGAAAAAGAAAAAAAAGTCCCAGATTCCTCAGTCATTACTGGTTTTGAACTGACAACTCTTTGGAGTATAACATAAATGGGCAGTCCTAATTTTCAGCTAGATTTCCAACTCCTAAAATGTAACCCAACTTGAAAGTGGTGGATGCATGTCTGGAGCCAAATCAAAACACCATAAAATTAATTGTTAATTGTCTCAAAATAGCTGATTTGTGACTCAGTTTTCTTGAGTGAGCTATACCTGCATGTTCTGAAATCTGAATAAAACTACCAAAGCTGCACAAGAAATATAGGTACACATGAAAATAAAGAAATCACAAAGTTGAGGTTTTTTCTTAGAAATATATTTTGTAAGAAAACAATATTAACATTAAAAAGAAATGTTTATTATACAGTATAAAATAATTGCTTGGATTCAACTCAGTTACTTACAAAAAAAAAAAAAAAAAAAAAGCCTGAGGATTTGTATGAAGCCCCAGTTCCTACAGACTTGAGTCTTTTGCCTTCTTCGAGTCTGACTTAATTAAATAGTAGGTTTTCCCCACATCATTCTTAAAGCACACAGACAAGCACTTCAAAAACCTCTCTCATCCCTTCCCCAACAAGTTGCTGTCCCCTGTTCAAATGTGCTCTAAACACCACCTGAAGTATTTGCATCTCTCCCTTATGTCCCCTCCCATGCCCTCCCTCAGATTCCATCCACCGACCTCTTTTGCCCAAGCAACTACACAAGCAACAACACACGTTGCAGCTAGCAAGGAGTCTCCTCATATAATCTGTTGGCTAATGTGAACAGTGGCCAGCCACTGTTAAATAATGTGTAAATGGCTGAGTTGTTCTCAGCTGTCTATCCTCATAAAACCTGCAAGAATACCTCTTAAGTCTGCCATTCATTTGTCAAATCTGGCAGAAGTGTGCAGAATTTTAAAAGCTACAAGGGGAGACAAGAACAGGCAATGCAATTACATAAGCTTCACTTTTTCAGGAAACTGAGCTAAAGAAAGTCATTATTCAATTGCAGAATTCACCACTTGCAGATTTTGTTGGAGGAAAATATGCCTGGTTCAGTAACTATAAATACTCCTAATACATTTCTGGGGCTTATGTACTAATTTTTTTATTTTATTTTACACAATGCCAGCTTTGTTATGTCAATTACCCTCCAGGTTTATAAGGCACCCAGTGTCCAGCATTCTGGTATAATTAGTCACGGCATTGGTGTGATTTCGCCCCCCTCTCCAATAATAGTGACAAGTTTAAAAGAAATCTATTAAGTTAAGAAGAACAAAGATATATATTACATTTGCTAATTGCAAACAACCTCTTCTAGCTGCATTTTTTCCCATTGGGATCAAAAAGTGCACCAGTTTAACGTCTGTACATAAAAACAGTTTAAAACATTAAATATACAAACAGCAAGAGATTTTAAATATTTTGTATCAAATACTATAGGACAATATAATTTACATAATTTTTTTAACACAAAACATTACACCTGAAATATAACTTTAGATTTTACAGAATATAAAAATACATAATTTTTGTTTAAAAAATGTCTTTGCAGATTCTGGCACAACGTAATACTTCAAAGGCACACTGTATTTTGGCAATCTATATTTGCAATTGACTGTGCAACAATAATAAAATATCCTGTAATTAACCTTTTAGAACTGCAGGGCCAGATGATCTCCTTTCTGGAATGGCCCTTTTTATCAGGCAAAACCTAAGTTGAACTGTTTAGATGTTCTGCAACTCATTTCTGCCATGGTCTGAACTCTCCAACCCTGATCCAGCAATGCAAATACAGGTCTAACTCAAGATGTGAAAAGTCACATCAAATGCAATGGGATTAGTCCTACTTTAATAATCTTTGCTGTCTCAGGGTCAGAACACTCAGCCCCAAGCAAAATGGAGTCCTCAAATGCAAGCTGGGAGCCAAGGTCTGCCCTGCCCTGTTTGCACCAGAACTAATAAGGACAGCACAGGTTAAAAAGTCAGAGCAGAACTTGGAAACAGAAGTTCAATAATACTAATTTTTTTGATTTCAACTACACCAATGTAAACAGCATAATGAGTCTACTGAAGCCAGTGGAAACAAATGAAGTAAAACTGCTATAAGACTAAATCAGGAGAACTGTGTAATTTTGCCCTTCCATACATTTGTGGGACTCCCACTGGAGCCAGCACAGGACAAAAACGTGTTTAGAGATATATGGCTTATATAGATGTAATTGGGTTCCAGAAGATTTTCAGTTCTGTCTTCAAGTTGTTTCTGGACAACTCCAAACTCAAACAATTTTCAGCACGCTACAGAAAGATTCAATCTAAATCCCTAACTTTAAATGCTCCAAAATAAGTTGCTTCTTGTGACGAATCCAGTAGCAATGGGTTTGATACCTGGATACCTATCATTTCACCAGATTTTAATTTAAAAAATCCTCCTACATTTACAGAATAAAAATGAAATTCTGAATTTCCTGACCAGTATTTGGTGCTCCCTCCCTTCATCAACACATCAGAGCGCTTTATTTTAAGATTTGTCTTAATCATATATACCATCAGCTGAAGCACTCTTTTAGTCAAGTTTCCTGAAGTTTCATGATGTCTAAAACAAATATTGGCATACAGGTAGTAAAAGCCATCTTGATTAACAATTAGTTTTCCATCACTGAATGTCATATTTGATAAGTTTGCCTGGCCTTTGTCATGATGCCAGGATGTGAGGTTCACTTTGCGGGTTCCTGAAGGGGAGAGAAAAAAAAGAGAGATTATTTATAAACATTTAGCAAACCCCAATATTTAGAAAGCAATCTCTAGGTTTTCACAACCAATTAGAGTTCTATAGGCTGCAGAGAGTATCAGACAATGATGTTAAAAATTCTTAAGAAAATTTCTTTTTTTAATGCACTCCCATATTTGGCTTGCTATTTATAACTGTCTGCCCTCCCACTAGAAATGCCTGCTGGACTGTAGAACAAAACACTTGCTTGGCCTACAATTTGATTATGCTAAGCAGTCATGCAACAAGCTCTGCTAAGAAAGGGCATTTCACCTAAAATTTTATTCAACTAACAAGTTTTTGAGAGGAATTTGAAAAGAAAAACTTATCAGTCTTTAACTTGTGTTTGCAAGGGATAGCTAAAATTCTGAACACAAGTGAAACTGATAATTCCCCAAAGAGAAAGTTTATGAAACCTTCCCATATTTTGTTCTTGTGACTGTAGTAGTACTAAGGTAAACATTTTCATCTGACAACACCAAAAAATGCGGATAAATCAGTACAATTGTGCCTTTTTAGTATTACACTTAATACATTTAGTATTAAGTTGCCTAGGCTCTACATAGCACTTCAAGTATTTATGACATAACAAACCTTTTTATGAAAAAACAATGTTTAGACTTAATCCAGTGGCCGCTTATACCAGAATAAGTCTTTAAAACATCGTTTAACTCATATCCTAGATACCTAGGATAATGGTCTACATCACCATCCTAATTCATAATTTTATAGATACTTATAGCTGGACAATTATAACTATTCAAGAGGTAAACTTGGATTCTTTAGTTCTTCGAAGACAAGCTCGTGGAAGACAGATGTGACTCTGGACACATTGCTCTTTTTTTCTTTTCTTATTTTAATTTACTACAGTATCATAAGTTTCAAACTAGAAACAACGAGCTGATATTCCATGCTTGAAGGAGAACACCCCCCCTTCAAGCTGTCTTACGATGGAGATCCACAAATTAGGAAGGAAAATGATGATACTGTTCTCAGTCTCTCCACAGAACATCATGCATGAGGGAATCAAAATACACACATAACAGCTACCAAATCTGGCTACCAAAAAGGGTGGATTAATAGAATTATCATATGCAAAGAAGCATTATTGAATTCCTTCTAACAGGTACATGAAACCCTTTCAGCTCTGCACACATGATGATGGTCTGGTAAACAGGAGGCTGCCCCTTATCTGTTAGGCTGAATACTTTGCAAAGATAATGAAAAGGTGCTGAGAGATTGGAGGTGTTTGATTAGTCTGCCAGCTTAGCACCATCACTTTGCACTTACAGGTACACACATACAGGAATTGGTCTCTGGACCAAAAGACAGCTCCCAGGCACTATCATCAGGGAGCCACATTGCATTATCTCTTGGAGGTTTCAAGCTGATGTCATCAGCTTGATGTCAAATGACATCTCAGATATCATTTCATCTATATCCTACTATGGAGGCAGTGCTGAGACGTGGCCTGGCAGGAGGTCAGAGAGGCACTGAGAGAGAACATTTGAGTCTTCCTTCCAAACCTGGTCACATTTGACACTTTAGATGATTATTTTTTGGTGGCACAGTGGTAAGAGCAGTCTGCAATACCAGCTCAGACAGCATTGCTACTACTGCAAACATATCATGTAGAGGTTTCTCACAGTATTTTCTGCTGAGGAGCATGCCCTGAAGCACACATCCCACAGTCCCTCCACCTCCCTAGCTTCACCACTATCCCATTATGGCATCCACCTCATCGTAAGATGAGCCCATGCCTGCAAAAACAGAACAGGCAACAGTGGGAGAAGAATATCCTGGCAAAGCTCACCAGCATGCCCATGCAGAGGAAACACTGTCCTGAGAGCTCCATGAGCCTTTCTTACACTCACTAACACCATTATTCAGTGTAATCCACAAAGCATAATACAACCAGTGGGAATAAGCCAACTTGTCCTCCTAACCACTAGCAATTTTCAGCACAACAGAATAACTTCATTTGCTCCCTCCCAGAGGAGTGGGTTCACATATGTACCAGATGACTTTACACCTTAGCCTCCCAGTGCATCTAAATGCCTGTTTGGAATGTGCAGTACCTTATTCTCCCAACATCAGACCAAAACTGCCTATCCCTACCAAACTTTCCACGGCACACAGCAGGGCCCGGTGCCCTCCCCTCCAACCAGTGCTCACAAGCATGCTGGGGAAAAGCCTCAGGTATATTCGATTGGTTCAGAAGATGCCTCTTCGCATTTGTCTGTGCAGAAAGCAAGGATAAGTAGGGACAGGGGAACTTGAGAGAGATGAGCCTTGCCTAACTGCCAAGGGTGAGCAACTTTTGCATGTGAGAGGAATACTTTAACAGCAGTCCAGAACAAAAACCTTCTGGCGTTCTTCCACAAAGACTTAAGCAAAGCACAGGTTCTCAAAGGCAGATCATAAATAGTTGTTCCCCTATGGCTCTAGTGCAGCCAGGTAGAAATTATGCCAGCAAAATTATACACAGAAGCCATCTTCTGTGCAGTGACTCAAAAAAACCTCTGAAAACCATCAATTAAGTGGAAAAGACACCAAGATCTTAAGTCTCAGCCTGGAATTATTCAATGATTTCATTATGCATGAAATGCTATGATAGAGGTACCAGACTGCACCTCTGAAGCACTGCAGAAAGCTGAAGAAGTTGTAGAACTTCTTGTGCACAGCATTAAGTCTAGGAGAAATACTGCCCCAAGGAGGTTGAGCTATCTTCAAGATGAGGAGGACAGGCTAGAAATCACTGCTTAGATCAGAAGAGAGGCACTTAGATATGGGACAGGAATGTATCTCTATGATGGAACAGAAGTGCGTGCTGTGACTGCCTGGTGGCACACTGGGTAGTTGCTAGGCAGATTTTATTTACCTGACAAGTAAATTTTTTAGTTGTCAGTCTTAAGCTACAATTTTGAAGAAATCTTTAGTAGGAAGGCATGACTTCCTGCTGAAAAAAGGAAGGGAAAAAAGGGCAAATAGGTGCTACAGTGGCTCGTAATTGAGAGATAGGCTCTGGGTGAAGTTTGTTCACACTATTTTGATGTTCGAGTAAATACACATCATTCATCCATGGTCAGGTAGAGGGACAGGCCAAGAGATGATGGGAGATGACGCTATCTGTTTTAAACAGAGGATCTGCAGAGGTAACTTCTGGCAATCCCTTATTAAAGGGGACTAAATTATAAAGCATTAAATTATAATGCTGTGATTGTATCAGCTAAGGCAGACGGGCATTTTGCCACAATTCAGAGCTCCAGCCAGCAGCAGAGCACAAGCATGCTATGGTAGGAGTTCTGTCATGCAACCTTTAATGGAAGGAGCAAGCAAGTTCTCAGCACTTCTGGTGTAATACAACCAGATTTGGAGACATCAAAACAATCAGTACACCAAAACACAGGAAGTGGAGAAAACGAGCACACACATTAGTGCCAAATCAGCAGTCCACATATCAGCAACTCTGACACATAACCCAAGCTATGGGATAGTCAGAAATACTGCAATACAATATCTTCTGTGAAATAATTTACTTTGGAATCATGAAAAAAATAGCACAAGGTAAGTCAAGTTGACAGAGAAGAAAACAGTCGGGGAGATAATGATTAAGACAGTCTTCCAGACATGGAAAAAAGCATGATTTAAAAATTCAAAATAATACACAGCCTTTCTGAAAACTAAAGACAAATAAAAACAGCATCTTGTATATTTGTGAGCATGAACTAAGACTACTACAAATGAGTTCAATAAAATTAGTCAGCCTTGTTTTGATAATTTGTTTGCATCATAGTAATGTTCAGGTATAAATAAAGCCTGAAGAAAGGACCAAAGCACTGTTTGCTCTAAAAAACTCTGTTGGAGGCAAAGGGCAACTAAGTCAAACCTGCAGCTGTAAATAGCTCAGAATACTACAGCCCTTCCTTAGACAGCTAAAGGTATTAATTCACACCCCAAATGATATATTTAACATTTATATTTATTTCTGTTTGTGATTTTCTTCTTTAAACAGGGACTATTTCTGTAATCAATTTATAAACCAAAATTCACTGTTTTCATTTAAAACCTAGGTAGCATTTATAGTGAGCTCTGGTAAAAACCAATGAGCAAGCATCCAGCTCTAACCTAAGGCAGCAAACCTAAAAAATACACACAGCAAGCCAAACCACTACAGCTTCTGCCGCCAAATGATGGGTGGGGACACCAAGATCTGGGAAGGGTTATTTTCCCCCCTCCCTCACACTATCCCCTAGCTGCAAAAGTCCATTTGAGGCTTGATATTATTGTGGACCAGGTCAAAGGAAAATGTTCTCTCACAGACACTGTTCAGTGTCCCTTCATGAAGGGTGTTCCATAGCAAACTACTTAAAATCCTGTTTGAAAGCGAAGACTTTTTTTTTTCTGACTCTGTTTATTCTGGGTCAGAGTGATGACAGTAGAGAACCTTAAAATACTAAGAAAAGATCTATCCAGCCTCACGGATGGCAGAAAACAATTTAGAAGGGTTTCAGACACGGAAGGTAAAAAAAAATCAGGGGGAAAAATAAATATTGCCATTAGCAGTCAGAGAAAACAAGATAGGAGAGGAAAAACTGGTGCTTTATGCCCATCACTAACCTCTACACTACCCAGCCAAGTGGGTATTGCCTCATACCAGTAAGCATGATACTACAGTGCCTCACCACCAGAAGGTTCAGGGCTCCAGCTATCTATAAGAATACAGCCCCTCACTGCTACAATGCCCACAAGGACCACAGAAGCTGTGCTCATGATTAACATCCTGGCAATGCTCCAAAAGAGGCAGAAGCCCTATGTGCCAGATCAGAAGGGAGTATGTCCAGCTCATAACGTTGGTAAGGAGTAGATCTGCTCCAAGGAGAAAGCTTGCTGTCACAGGCAATGTGTTTCTGTGAGTTCCTGCTGCCTGTGCTTTTGGAAAAAAAAAAAAAAAAAAAGAAGTGAAGGGAACAAGAAAGAGCAATGTCTCCCTTGCCATTACCCATAGATGTGCTATGTCACTCCCTTGAAGGTTAATGCAGCACTGCACAACACTAAAAATTATCAGCTGCTAGCCTGGATAAAAACACAGTTTACAGCAATATTCAGGTAAACAGCAAACAAACTCCCCACAGGAAAAGGTGGATTTCACAGACTGTGACACTGACATACTCCACTTCTGCAGATGTAAGTCATCTGTCTCTATGATTAGCAAATTAATTGAAACCTTCCAAAGACAAAATGCCACGACAAGTTTACTGATACTGAATCTTCTATTACAGACCTATGGTAAAAGTAGGTCAAAGCCAAAATCTGACTAAAATAGAAGCTTGTCAGGAGGCATTTGAGCTAACAAGAAAGCTTTTGGAAGTTCTGACTGCCATCTGACAAGCTGTTTAAGCTCTCTGCTTATAAAGCTCTAGATCTTGGCAATGCCAATGCACTTGAAAAAATCCTATTCCTCCAGGCAAGAAGCTGTACAGAATTGCTTTGCCTTTAAACAGAGCAAGAGCAAGGTATTACTATGCAGGCTGCTAAAATCTCAGATTTCAAGTCTCAATACAGCATTCCCCTTTGGTTTGGTTATATAAAACAGAAAAGCAATGTGCACAGCTTAATTAACAAGGAGTTCAGCACTGCAGAATGTATAAATCTTCAGAGAAAGAACACAGTGGTGATCAATGCACCCTCCTATCTTAAGATCCTCTATCTGATAGCTTCAGAAAAAAATCTGGTTTACTTCTACCACACCAGTTGTTGTGTTGAGAATACAGAGAGAAAAATCTCAACTGACAGTGCCCCGGGCAAAAAATAAAACCATTCTAACATATCTTAAAATTGTAGGACTGAATCTTTTCCTCTGGAGAGTGTTCCAAGGCAGACTCATGTCTTGTTCTTGGATATTGTACTAACAAGGATATTCCCAAAGCCATCCGAATACCTCTGTGTAGAAAATAAGAGCTTTGGCAATATAAAAGAATGCCATCCTCTTACCACAGGGGCAGATAAAAGCCACAAGAACACGTTTTCCCCCCTACTCAATTGCTCAAAAACATATTGCATCCAAGTCAACACACTGTTGCTCACAGTCCTACCACTGGACTACATGGATGCACACAGACCCTTGTGAAGCTTTGGCATGTCAGAATGTTATGAGGGCCCTGGAGTCTTATGTGAAAAAGTCTACACTAGTCCTGCAACATAAAAGTGGATGGAATATGATAAAACCTTTCCAACGTGCCATCAGCAGAAGGAAACGTGCTATAAACTCAGCCCTATGCTATCAGAGTGCAACATACACACAGAAGGCAGGGAACTAGCAGGGAAGTTATAATAATGCCATTGGGACTGCAATTCTAGATTTTCCACACCTCCAAATCAAAGATGTGCTTCCTTTAGGGCAAATTCTTTCACTGATGGGCACCTGGCCATGCATGTGCACTGCGGACTCATATAAGATTCTCAGCTTCTAGATCCACCCTGAATGCTGTGTCACCCAGTACAAACCCCATTACACTTCAGCACTCAAAAGGAGTGTTTCTGCAAAGGGTTGAACAGGTGGACACAACACATGCTTGAATTTTACAACAGAAAACAATGCATTTCTTCAGCTGACAGCAGGACAAAAAAAAACACTGACTCCGACTCAATAGAAGGGAAACTTCTTCCCAACTGCATGATCTGTATTCTGGCTGATCTTTGACCTGATATATACACATATGCAGACAAGGATATATGAGCACATCTGTGCATGTGTGTGTGCATACCTATAGATGATATCCAGTGTGAGTGAAAAACTCTGGATGGGCCCTACAGGCCAAAGAAAACGAGAAACTTCAGAGGAGAGCATTCAACACAAGATCTTCCTTCCTCACCTGATGACAGCACAAAGGGGTAGGCCAAGCCCTCAAAGGTTAATTATGAAAACTGGTAATTTGAAATGCCTTTCAGCACACGACTAATACAAAGGGGAGCCATCCTCCCTTTGACATTACCCCTGTTGCTTCTGAAATCCTTTAATGTATCCAATCTATTCTTGCTATCAAAAGCCATTTCTGAAATCCCAGTCTGTTGCTGGTTTTGCTGAACTATTTTCATATCATTATTCACTGTTTAATGCACTTATAGTAGTATTGGAAGTATTCACTTAAAACTGAACTTACCAGATGGAATATTCTTATCATCAATAATGAGATGGGCAAACGGCTGCTTCTCAGGTTTGTTTCTCTTGTACAGTTCAAGTCCTAACGCCTCCATCGCAGCTAGAGATAAAAGAATTGCATTATCCCAAAATGACAATTTCAGTGGAACTAAAACATTTCTTATTCATAAAGCAGCACCTACCTTTTTCTGGTCTTGGTGACGTTCTTCCCATGACACGCTGGACTTCCTAAAATGAGAAAGAGCCATGGTTTTGATGTTTTCTTGGTTTTGTAATGTTGTTTAGTTTGCACATTTACAATACTCTGTGCATATATCTGGGAATATTGTTCCACCTACATTATATTCAGATGTCTGGGTTACACATAATGTCAATCTGAGAATGCGAAATATGAACACACACAGTTTAGCTGCCACAATCAAATTACTTCCTCAGTCCAATCTTCTGATAAAGGTGGATAGGAATGATGGTGTGTATGATCACTTCATTATTTACTGAAGTAGTGGTGACAGGACATTTATAACCTTTCCTATTTACAGCGCTTGGATTATTTTTCCAAGTATAATGGAACAATGACTAATAAGAAGGCATCACATCAAACTATGGAGTTAATGAACAGATTTAATTACTTGGGGTCCAAAAGTAACGAAAGAGACAGTTCTACATATAAATTAGTGTGTAATCACTCTAACAACTAAGGAAAGTAACCTCTGAATTTCATTTGTGATGAGGTAAATGAAAACCTCCATTCCTCACACCTGACCACTAAAAGAAAGTTGCAGGATTGCAAAGCTCTACAGTCAAGGCTCACTTCTAACAAGGTACGCAGGAACTGAAGGATTAAGCATCTTCCCCATCTGGACTGGGCCAACTGGACTGGGTATCAGAATTCAATGCAATTCTTCAAAACTACAGATGAATTTTAACGTGAATGAAACTCATGTTACACAAACCCAAGAACATCCCAAATTGAGAACATCAGGCACCAAAAAAAGCTTTGGTTTTAATAATCCACACCTGTCTTCCTCTTGAGAAAAAGATACAAACGGCAGTTTTCAAAAATCTAAGCAGCCTGTTTTTCTTACAAGCATGGACTGTGTCTTAGTAATATTAAGTTCAATACTCAGCTCTGTCCCCTTTGTCCCCATGACTCTCCGTTTTCTAAAAAATAGGGGTAATAGTTTGTTATTCAGAATACCTCATACCATGGAGCCATCCAGAAGACATTTAGTAAAAGGAAACATTTTGCTGATGATAGCAAGTCATGTCCTCTTTGAAACCTAAGAGTGGTCCTTGTTTCATCTTTATGCCACGCATACTGCTGTTTGCCTGATTCAATCCATGTATATGCAATACTTCTCAGATTTGGCCAGATCAGCAATGTTCCACTGTGCTCTCAATCACTGCGGTGTTTTAGAATGTGAAATCCTGCTTTAAAAACACCTGAAGTCCTGCTTTTATGTAATTTTGCAATCACAGTGAAGTCTATAATGTCTTAGCCAATGCATTTATTACTCTCACTTTCCCCTTTCAGTAAGTATTTAAATGTTAAACCAAAATTAAAAGCCACAGCAGTATGGAAGTTGTATTATGACTATCAAAGCATAATACTTCAGCAGAGATATGCTGATTTTGTAGATAAGAATCACAAAGATGCTTATTTGCAGTAGAGACAAGAAGAGAAGTAGAAGAATCACAGGTTCAGAAGTAAAACTCGTATCCACCTCCCCCGTTTACATTCACTTTAATTCTCTGATCTTCCTACTTCAACGTCAGTTCTAGGAGTATGAAAACGAGGTTTAATTCTAGGAGCTGCACACCACGCTAACCACACTTAAGCAGAAAATAGGAAGGTGACAAGAAATTGCAAGTACCAGGTACTGTGAAAGATGGTAAAAGACTCTGAAGAGAACAGGACATAAGGTACGAAGAGCCTGGGAGACAGACCACCACACTCAGAGATTACTGCAACACACTTATCCCCAACCCTTTCCTTTGAAGGGGAAACTTCTTTGTTTTCTTGCCTTCTTAATGAAAACTTCTCAAATGTCGAGTTTGCTTGCTTTCATATCCTTTCCTTCTGGGGCATGTGATAATGTTCTTGCCTAGGGAGCCTACTGGACGTATCCAAGAAGAACTATGTACATTTTAATCTCCTATTATCTAAACTGATACTAAAAAAAAAAAAAATTCCCATGGTTGGTAGCTGCTCAGCCTTTGAAATCCCTGAACTAGTCATCTGCTATTCCACTCCTAACTTAAATTTTTCCTAGGAGCAAAGAGTTCTGCTTCTTCACATTTCCAAAGATGTTCTATGTTAAGCAGTGAGAGATCCAGTAGCCTGACTCAGCTCATCTTCCATGCAGAAAGGCTCTGGTCCTCATGAAATGTGGTCTGAGCTGCTTTCTAACTGTTGGTGGTGCTGTTCCTCTGCAGCACCACCACTTGGTAAGCAGAACAGCTACACGGGTAGACTTGGGTCCACAACTCTCCTTGTCCTGATGGTCTCAAGCCTACTTTCCTGTTTCCTAGGAGCATGTCTCTCTGACAGGAACACTCTCTCACACTCCTCTTGAAGCTATGCTTTTAGAAATTAGGAAATGCAATTAGGAAATGAAGGTATCATTACATCAAAAAGGAAATTATAAGTGTGAGCTCAACACTAACGCATTGAGAAGAGTTGGAGGCTGGCTTATGTTCACTGACTCTTCTGTGTGCTTGTCACTGGATTAGAAGTGGCAAGCCTGTGGCCAGAAAACAGAAATCCTCCATCAGCTCTCTAAGCTCTGGACTAGTGTCAAGTTCTTTACTTGATTCTGACCAGCCCCACAAAATTGATATTCCTTTCTGTTACATTGCCCAGGCTTCCAGAAGGGAGATGAAACAAATGAACTAGTCCCTATAAAACAGATATGGAGTTGTGAGTTTACTCATGAAGAGTAAGTAGTTCAACACTTCTTGATCTTTTACTGCATGTTTCTACAGTTCCAAGGTGCTGACACACAAACTACCTTAGAAAAACATTTTACCACATACTTCCTTCTAATCCTGAAGGACATTTTTCACTGGGTATCTGAAGAAACCCAGATGTCTAAAGATATGGGATTATAAAAAAATCTCCTGGCATTCTTACTGCAAGGAATTAAGAGCTATGATTCTTCAAATCTTTAAAGTATCAACTGCATTTTTTAGCACCTGAATGTCTTTAAGCATCTCATACTTAATCATAATGTAGACTCCCATTAAGGAAGCAGAAACAGCTCAACAGAACCTGTGACTAAGAAACTGCTATAATGGCACAAGAACTACTAACAAAATATTACCAGCGATTTCTCCTAAGACTGCCATCCACAGAACTGTGATACCAAGCTGCTCAGTTATTTTTAGCAAAACTGTACACAATAATCACACCACTCTGTTAGTCTTATGATAAGCTACTCTTGTACACCTTTGTGTAATTTGCCCATTGCCAACCAAATCAACTCTGCTGACCTGCTTCCCACACTCCAAACTCCTTCATACAGTCACTGTTTACAAAACAGACAAGTAGTTAGTCACAAAAATGAAAAACATGTCTTCCCTTCATCCAAAAAATTGAAGATGCCATTAAAAAGCTCCAAAACTTTCACATTTTAAAGCTAAAACTCGTGCTTTAAGTGTCTGGAAAGTTGGGAACTGCTCTTTTCCTAATCCACAGCAGGTTGCAGGTTTTACCCTTAGCATCTCAGCAAGTTCAAAGCAAAAATAACTCTTGCTCTACATATCCAGTGTTGAGGATGCAGAGACAAGGCCATAATTGAACACATGATATTTATGAAAGGTTTTTCATCTCCTTTGGCTTTTACAATATCTCAATATCTACTTTGAGCAGCTATAAGGAGCCTTTTGAGACCAATGAGAAGTTCTTTGGATATTCATGTGGTTTTTCATCTGTGATCTTTAAGTACAGCTAAGTACCAGGAAGAAGCATCTGATTCTCTTGCCGGAAATTCAGCAATTTGAAGAACGCTGATCAGGAAGGAAGTGAAATAGAAAGTACATGAACCAATACTCATCAGACTACAGTTTGGAGAGCAGCAATACAATCTCTACCCAAATGAGTAGTCTATTGTTTGCAGGGAAAAAAAAAAAAAAAAAAAAAGGCATGTAAGACTGTAGGATGGAAACAGCGAAATTTTAACAACTTACAGCAATCACTTGTGAAATCTTTACTTGGTCCATAACTATGTGCAGTTTAAATGTCTGCTAAGTATATAGATCTCTTTACAAGTGCTACCCTGGAGGTCTAGCAAAGCACTCTGTTGCCATGTGGGAAGACTAGCTAATGCCTGAAATCCCCAAGCTGCTAGAAGCTGGGAGTATTGCCAAGAAAAGTTACTTATGGATTGACCAAAGATATGTTTGTAGTCCTTTCTACTTCATGCTCATAACAGGCTTCATAAGGACTGTGGTTAGTGCATCTGGACTGCCAAAAGGTTTTTAGGGTTGCATGGAAAAAAAATTAAGCAAACAGACAGGCTAAGAAAGTATATTATTTGTCTGTTTGAAAGTTTACATGCCCTATTGAAAATATGCTTTCTACTTAGTAAGCTGCTCCTTAAGCAGAATTTTTATCCTGAAATATGTTAAGGAATTGGTCATTAGATTTTGATTAAAAGAAAAATCTTTAATTATTATTTTTTCAGGAGACAAATATTTCTAGACCTGATCTTGCAGCCCTACTACACTGGCTTTCCTAAGAGCACTTTCATTTGTAACATCAAGATTTAAGTACTAGGTCTACAGGTGTGCAAAAAAAAAACAACAGATGAGAACCGGTGCAGTAAGCCAGAAGCTGTAACCAAACCATAAACCTGAGCAAAAGCAAGTTGTCTATTTTCATTTCCTGAACAGCTTGATTTGCAAAAGACAATATATTTAAAAAATCATGAAAGAGAAATGGTATTTTAGTGTTCCATTTTAGTCACTGAACATGCTGCCAGTTCAAATAAGGATACTGGTTCTTAAAACACACACAGGTTAGATTCTCCTTCAGGAAAGTGAAGAAAGCACAGACAACAAGAAACCTGTTTAAAGTCACATTTGCTGCATCCTCACACACAAAAGACTAGCACAACTGCAAGTAAGCTTTGGCTGCATCTCTGCTCTTCATTGCAGCAAGGGTGACTGAAATGCAGAGTTTACAGATCATGATAACGTATAATTCCGCCTTGACACTGTTACTTTCACTTCTCTGATACACCGAAAAGATGCAAACATAGCCTCAGGTGATCATTTTCCTATCTACTTTTTTTCTCTGTCATTGATACAAGATGACAAAGCATCTAGAACACTGGTGCAGCTGCTCAATACATTCTGTTACACTCAAATGAAATTCAGAACCTACTCTGGCAAGGGAAATTTTATTGTTCTCAAACTAATGGTCAACAGCCAGAAAAGTTATCCCTACTCACTACTTATCCTGGCCACGGACATTGCAGCATTTAACTTCCATCCAGACTGGCAGGATATGCAGCCTCAACTAAAGCCAATGCCTTTGTTGAGTAACCAGCAGCAAGTGACCAGAATACAGGGCTTCCCATTGACTTACAGTAACAGGCTCCTTACTCTGTCATGGGAATCACATGAAAAAGCAGTCTAGTACCAGCACACAGCACAGATATTGGTGTAGCACCAGAGTCTCTATAAAATGCAGGAGGAAAGAACTAATTCTACAAACTTAACCCTCTGTCTGCCCCTTAAGCTTTTGAGGGAGGTGGCTAGCAAAACAGACAAGACATGGGCTGCTATGTTTCTTTGTGTTTTGTTCTGTCACTCAGGATTCTCTGTTAAAAGCAAACATTACATTAGTGCAATTAAAATGCTACAAATTTAACTCAAGTACAGTTCACTCTAAAGTATGTGAGTTCAGCTCAAATCTAAAGTAGTTCCCTTAATCAAAAACTGCCAATTGTATGCAGATGTGAAGTAGTAAAGTTATAATGGACCTGATAAGCCAGGAAAACCAAATACCATAGCAGACATTCAGCCCATAGTTAAACTCTAAACACTGTCGTGAACACAAAAAGGGATCAAAGCCAGTAACTGCAGAAAGAGGGGACTGTGACATATATCACACTTGCTTAGGCTTCCTCATTAGGGCTGACTTTTTTAGCTGGCCACTTTTGTTATTCCTAAGACTGCCCAGTTATCATGCTGTGGCAAAGTAGGTCTTCTGCCAGTGTAAGAATGATCTGTACAGAACAGAGAACTGGAAAAGTAAGCAAAAAAAAAAAAAAAAAAAAGGAATGTTATCCCTCATTTGGGGTTGCAGAAAGAGTAAGAAACGAGCCAATGCAAGCAAATGCTATCTCCTTTGTCCTTCACACAATATTTTGCTTGCTGATGATCTTGACTTAGGAGAATCTTGTCAGGAACAGTCAGAAAGACTGCTTTGAAAAAAAGGGTGTCACTGTTCTTTTTTTTATGAGCATCCAAAGTGTTCGCAAACCTATACAAATATTAGCATAAATGACTACCATTCAGGCCTATCCAAAAGTCAGAATGGCTAACCAACTAACTGCAATCAGTTCTCAGTACAACTTCAAGTCTTCCTTTCTTAAAAAAAATAAGATAAAACGTGTTTGAATATAGAACTGGTTAGCCACTACCAGATTCATGAGTAAACACAGTATGATCTTGGATGAAACTTCAGGTGTTTGAACACCAGAAAATGATTTATAGAACTTACCTCTGATGTTGGAAAAAGTTCAACCAGACCATGAAAGAAAGGAACACACAGTCTGTACCACTTACCTTCTGCACAGCCCTTTGGAGAGCCTGTTTCATATTTCTACATGATTCTGGCATCAACTTCATTTCTTGACTTTCAAAGGATGCATCATGTAAATCTGTACTTTCTTGATGACCAAAAAGTGTTCTGACACAGTGTGCATGTTCTTTTGAAATTCTAGTAGGGTCCATCTGAAACAAAAACAGAAGCACAATCACAGTTCTAAGTGTCAGGGACACTTTTCAACCATCTAAAAGCTTGGCACCTGGCTAAGTTTATTATCTAAATTTTCTTTGTAAACAATGAAGAGAGAAAAAGTTCCCAACATTGAGGTTTATTTCATCCAAACGTGAGACAGGATATGTGACTTTCAAAAGTTAAAGATAAATCCCATTCTTGCAGTAAAATCAATTATCCTGAATTCCATTTTTCAAACATTCAATGCAATATCACAGTTATTTTAACAGGAAACAAAGTCATCCTACCTCTAAGAGCTATCATTTGTAAAATAGCAAGTAGAGAAACTTGGGGAAAGTATGTACAACACCTAGCACATCATTTTCAAGAGGAGAAACAGAAGTTTTCTCATCACTGAAGCTATCAGCCAGTTATCACAGAAACTCTTTTGTGGATGTACTGGTTGTGGCTGGGATAGAGTTAATTTTCTTCACAGTAGCTGGTATATGGCTGTGTTTTGGATTTGTGCTGAAAACAGTGTTGATAACAGATGGTTTTGTTACTGCTGAGCAGTGCTGACACAGAGTTATGGTCTTTCCTGCCTCTCACCGCACCCCACCAGTCACTGGATTAGGGGTGCACAAGGAGCTGGGAGTGGACAGTCTGGAACAGCTGACCCCAACTGACCAAAGGGATATTCCACGCCATATAGCATATAAAGCTGGGGGGAAAAGAAAGAAGGGGACAACATTTGGAGTGATGGCATTTGTCTTCCCAAGTCATCATTTCGTGTGCTGGAGCCCTGCTTTTCTGGAGATGGATGAACACCTGCTTGCCTATGGGAAGTAGTGAATGGATTCCTTGTTCTGCTTTCCTTATGTGTGCAGCTTTTGCTTTACCTATTAAACTTTCTTTATCTCAACCCATGAGTTTTCTCACTTTTACTCTTCCAGTTCTCTCTCCAGCCCCACCAGGGGAGTCATCGAGCAGCTGCGTGGGGTTTAATTGCTGGCTAGGATAAAGCTATGACAGTGGTAAGAGGTATTGCTACGTAAAACAGTCACCAAGACAGCAAAAGTCAGAAAGACCAAAAGATGATTAAACTGCATCGCAAAACACCTTTGCTTCACTGGACCAAAACTGATTAGCTTAGAGTATCTGCAAGACATTTTTAGCAGTCTTTATGACTGAAACAAGGATACTTTAAAATCCTGAATTCTATCAGTTAGATAAACTGGAAGATATTCCAAGCATTAGGATTGTACCTTCGCAGAGTTTAACTGCATAAATGCTATTTAAACCATTTCACTCTGTCTTCCCATACTCCATATCCTTTACAGTCAAGAGATATTAACAACTGTCTCTCAGAGATGGCCTAAGACTCTCAACGGTTGTTCTAAACTTGTATTCATTCCACTTTTACTTCAGGTTTGAAATAAGATTTATGTCCCCAAACTTTTGTCTAAGTTCTCTAACTGTATCAGCTGGCCTGTTAAAGAACATTTACCTTTCTGATTAGGTGGAAGAAACAATTTTGTTCAAGAATTTCAAAAGGTAATACATTATTTGTAAGCCCAATGAAGGAATATCAAGACTTTAAGGATAGTGCCTGACACGTGTTCAGTTTCCTTTAACATTGTGTGAAGCAAAACCGAACATCAAAAGGAAGTTTTGCAGAACACAGAACAGCCAGAGTGAATCAAACATGTTATATCATTTGTTCACAGGAACATAAATTCGACTCCCCAACCCCAAAAAAGAATCAAGTTAAAAAGCATAAGGTTAGGATTACAGAGCTGAATTTAAGTCTACGCCAGCCAGGCAGCCATCCAACAGGCACACACAGCAGAGAAACATTTGTTGCACAGACAGCGGCACCAAACGCTGCCATCCTTCTGCTGAAGTCTCCAGATGGAAGCTGTTTGCCTCATTCATTCAGACCAATGCCAGCCCCTGTGACCTGGTTTATCTGTCCTAGTCACCCCTACAGCTTTGGAATGAAACAGGTCATAAAAGGTTCACCTGAGGATCAGAATATGCCAGTTTTGAGCAAAGGAGTTGCAATGAGTTACAGAATGGCTTAGAGGCAGTAACATCTTCCTATGACGGCCTGACACAGCTAAATCCAAAAGAAAATCCGTGTACAGCCACTGCAGCTCTATGAATTAAGCACTAAAAACTACACTAATGCCTTCTGAAGTCAGCTAGCACAGTGCAGATTCATTAACTACTTAAGCAGATCCAAACCAACACCTCTGTGCTCTCACCACCTTCACCACAGAATTTAATTCCTGGATTTCATTCTCCTAAATTAATAAACAGGGAGGAAATTCTGCTGACCTAGTTTCCTGAAATATTAGCACCCTAAAAACAACTCACTCCAGGTATCAGACAAGCATCAGAGCCAGTACAGGAAAAGGCATAGGAATGAAACAGCAGGAAGGCAGTCCTAGCTTTAAACAACTGTAAAACTGCACCCTAAAAGCATCTCTCACAGTATGTTCCACTAGTATTCAGAACTCATAAAATCAACTGTAAAATAAATAAATAAATAAATAAATAAGAAGCACAAAATGTTTACCAATGGCTGCTAAAAGCTAGTCAATGCAGAATGACTTGGGTTGGAAGGTACCTTTGGAGTCCAGTCTCCTGCTTTAAGCAGGATCAACTTGCAGCTTAGGTCAGGTAGGTTAAGGCATCTAGACAAGCTCTGGGGAATTTCCATCAGTGTAGACTTTCAACCTCTCTGGGCAAACTGTCCTAAAACTTCACCACTTCTCATGTGTAAAAACCCCTGGGTTTGATGCCCAGCTACAGTTCTCCTTGCTGCAATTTATGACTGTGCCTCAGGTTTTTGCTGATCGCTTCTGAAGAGCCTGACTCTCTTTAGGTAGCTAAAAAACAGTAATTAGCTTTCCTCACTTTAGTCTGCTCTTTGTTAAGTTCAAAGAATACAGTTCTCTATTCTTTTATATATCATGATCCCTACCTATCACAGTGGTCTTCTGCTGGACTCTTTCCAGTTTGTTGATAAGCCTCTGATATGGTATTGGGAAACTCAAAATAGGACCCATTATTTCAGATGTAACCTCTTATGTTGGTACTGTTAGAGACCTGAGGGAATTAGGGTCTCCAACAGGATCTGGGCACCTTAGCCTTTTCCCCTCCACACAGATCACAGGATAGAAGATAGAAAGCTACAGTAGATAGATACTAATAGATACTGCCAATAGATACTAATTTTTATAAGTAATTCTACTGGTCAGAGTATACTGTCCCAGTTTGGAATTTATTAAAACATACAAAGCAGAAAAGCAGACAAGAAAACCAGGTTTTACAGTTTTTGAAATTTGTAAAGCATCCACCATGACAAATCATGACAGCATAGACTTACAGCTATCACCCACCAACAATCACTCAAATGTGTAACACAACACTGCCGGAACAGTAACAGCAGATTGTACAGAGTCACTTGCTCAGATTACAGTTTTCCTGCTGAAGGCCTAAGACAGAAAGCCAGCATCTCTGCACCTACAGATAAAAAACGGAAAGCTCAAAGGAAACACTGATTTCTTAAACAATTTAGAGCTGTGAAACCCATCCTGACAAAAAGTGCAAGTCTCTAGAGATTTACTGTTTGATAAGGTGAAACCCTGATCTTGGGACTAGCTAACCTACCTGTTGCCCTTAACTTTTTCAAAGAATACACAGTCTTCACCCATTTAACCATGAAAATTACCTCACTTGTCTGAAAAGGCATTCTCAGAAATTCTGTATCTTATATCTTTACAAAGAATGTGTTCTGAACTGCCATGGCAGCAAAAAAGCACTGAGATCAAAACTGTAGGCATGAAGTGATGCACAGAAAAACTTTCAAGGAGGTGTTTTGAGAAGAACTTCTAAAGAACGAGAAAATGATTATGAAATACCAGAATGATCTACAGGAAGCACCTTGTTAACTTGCAGGGCAGAGACTTTCAGCATAAAATCCTAAAGATCTAATACCTGGAAGAAACATCAAAATGAAAACAAAAATAATGGAGAAAACTTTATAACATGTGACATACCCTAAATGTCCTAGAGGAATTAAATAATTTAAAGAGAGGAGTGTCTAACTTATCTCTTTCTATCCATTATGTCTGACCTTGAAATCAGATCAGATCATTCAGTGTCACTTGATTTTCATCTCTCATCATTCTAGTTGCATTTCTGTGCTCTTTTCAACCAATTCAGGGCAGACAAAATGAACTCCAGCATAGTGGGTGAGATCAAATGAAATTACAGAATTAAGAACCAATTTCCTTATGTAAAAAGATTCAGTTTGGCTTTAAAAGACAATACATTTCAGCCACCTTTACTATTCAATTTTGCATCAATTATGAGACGTTACAGTATCACATTCAACACTTTTCAAAACTTAAAACCACTTTCCAGACTATCAAATATCACTCTGCACTCCATGATCTTTCTTAACCACCAAAAGGGGGTTCCTCCAGGCTTCCACAAAAATGCTAACAACCACAATCAAGCTCTTTTTTTCTGTTAGCCACTGCTCTACAATGCTCACAGAACTTGGAAGTCTTGAAAGGTAACTGTCTAAAAACATAGACAACAAAAATCAGAATTCCACATAAGAATGAAATGACAATTAAAAATCTGATTTATAGGTCCCCATTTATCCAAGTGTGAACTCTTCAATATGGTAGAGCACTTAACATTTGTATAGCCTTTTTTTAAAGGGGAAAAATGTATACTCTTGGAGTTCTACATTTAACTATGGGAGATAGACACCCAGCCCCCACATTTGGATTTGCAGAACTTCTAGTTTGTTCCAATGTTAGATGAAATTCCTCCCGTTTTATGATATAAGTGCACTAAGAAAATAGGTCAGAAATAAAAGCTTAAAAGCTAATCCTTTGGGGATATACTTCAGCATTTACCAGTGCAAGTTAAATAAACTTTGCTCTCTCACCTTGTGCAGGTTCATGAGTCTCTATTGAGCGATGATTTCCAGCTGCTCTGAGCATCTAACTACATTTTCATAGCATTCTAAGTAAATTTTCATGGTATTTTTATCGATAATGAGCAAATATTCCTCATAAAGTATAAGCAAAATAAATGCTCCAGACCAATAAAATCGGATACTGTTTAATTTCTTGGATTCAGTACACTGCACAGGATAGACCAAAAAGCAAAGTCAGAACATCCTAGTGTTTTTATATTTCAGAACATTATTTATGAGAATATGGGTAAAATTCAATTATTTGCTTTTTTTCCTTTTTCAACATACCAGCTCATTGTCTCACTTGCATTGCACTGCATTATTTCTTGGCCACAAACATGTGTTTACCCGTGAAAACCTAGTGTCAGTCTTCGTTATGTGTCTTGTGAAATTCCAAATGCTCAAACCACAAAATAAACAAAACTAAGGAAAAACCAAAACCTCAACTATTGTCTCAGCTTATATTGTGTCATGATCCAGTCCAAATGATTTTATGCAAATACAGACAAAATGTGTATGGTAAAACTGAGTCAGAGTTTATTCAGACTCTTAGGTAGAGTTTTAGAGAGCTTACAAAATGTATAATTTCTTAGTATCGGCCTAAAGAGTCAAATCTTTCTAATTCACATTTGGCTAATTCACCAACCAAACAATTCAAATCTTTTCAAGTACAGCCTCAACTATTAACTTCTCAGTTCTCTTATTAAAGTATAAATTCAGATAGCTGAAATTTGCACTGGAAAAGCCTAATACAACCAAACTTGACAGAAACCAAGAGAAAGAGGTCCAATCATGTCCAGTATAAATAGAACAATCTCTAAGAGTGTGAAATCAGAATTAACTTTTGCAGGACCTACTATATTTTTCATCTATCTTATTTCACAATTAGAAATGGGGAACAAATATGGATTATTATATCTTATTATTGTGAATTACGAACTTACTTCAAAGGTATATTTATTAATTTGTTTTCTCCATTACAAATTTTTCAGGCAATGACTTCAGTCAAGCCTACATTGAGCTAGATCACCTCTTTTAGATGTTTTGGAAAATCGAGTTTAAAAAGGACTCAATTCAACAGCATTACTCCAAATCTCCAGGAAGAAGAAACTAGCAAGTAAATTAAGCTGTTAAATGCAGAATTATTGCTGGACGATGCAATTTTTTAAATCAAGGAAGCAGAAGAAAAATAGTTCTTTTTACCCTTTGTTAGGCACATGTGAAGCACTGGCATGCACTTAACAAAAAGAGTCCTTAATAAGGGGCTTAATAACTTTGATTAGCTGTTTTAATTGCAATGGCTCTCTAGGAACTAATCAATGTATAGCTGTGCATCTCTGAGCTATGTTTTGACAAGAATGTCTTTTCAAGTTCATGAACATCTGGAATGAAAAACATTCCCTGTCAGAAGTTGAAGTACATATTCATTTATTTAACTGTCAAGCAAACAAACAGCTTTAAGCTATTTTAGTCCCAGAAATTAAATGTCACTCTTCTGAAGTATACAGGTTATGATTAACTAAGTACTGTATTGCGGTTCCATTTTATTTTTGTAAAAATGGGAAAAACAAAGCCATCGTCAGTTAAGAAAATACAAAATGGTCTGCCTAATACACAATCAGCAGTGCTACTGTATATTTGATACTCATTCACCTGTTTAAGTGGGTATACACTGGTACAACATCTGTTTTCAGAGTGCACTTTTTTAAGAAATCCAGCCTGCTACATCAAGATCAAGCACCTCTACCTAGAAAGTAAACTGAAAGAAACAGGTTTCCACTCTCCACTGACTTCAAACGAAAAGCACTCACAGCAGAAGTGCCACTTCCATGAAGGCAGTGAGACCCACATTAACAAACCTAATTAGCATCCGACATTAAAGCCAAGCAGAAATCTAACACTTAGCCCTGAGAAGTAACTAGCTGGCAGCTCCCCACTTCCTCTGAGAGGGCTCAGCCTTGCGGGGTGAGAGATGTAGCAGCGAGAGAATCCAGGCAGCCGAGCTGTTTCCAGGAAGCAGGCTCCTCTTCTCTCCGAAACCCTAACCGCTCATCACCTTATCTCCCCCTACAGCGAGACTTCCCCGTGCTCCTTTCTGCACGCATCGCTGCCTCCTCTGAATCATCCCCTCGTCGGGCTTGCGGCCTGGCAGGTGAGGGGCGGCTCTTTCCCAGATTCCCAGAAATCCCCAGGATCCCAGAAAAAGCTCCTGAGCTGCAGCGGGCACCTCTGGGCGATGCCAGCGAGCGCACTGACCCCGCTCCTCTGCAGTGCCCCTCTGCAGCCTGAGAGACAAACCACCCCAAATGGTGATGCGTGACGACCTTTTCTTTCTTTAAAGCCACTTCTCCGGCTGATGAAACGTTCATGGCAGCCAAAGACCTCAACTATGTCAAACTCCTCTCCAATGGAAAACTGAAAGCTGATCATGAAAAACCGAAGCCCTGCAAGACTTCAGGTGAAGGATCATTATTAAGCTGTTTACCGAGTCGGGAGCCCCTTATATCCGCTGAGAATCCCTGTACCCCAACACGCACCCACAACCCACAGCACTATGTAGAACACCTCGGGCTGAGCAGCTCCAGTGACCGACCAGGCGAGAGCATAAGCGGGGCAGGGCACTGGGAGCCCATCAGCCCGACCTCTCGCAAAGCTGGACCAACTTCAGAGGCAGATAAAGATGTTCTCCGACTTTTGTTGTTGTTGTTGCTGCTGTTTTAATTAATCGCCTCAATCGCATCGACACGAGGTCCTTCCCCTCTTCTGAAAGGTGCGAGGCGGTCGCACTTCCCACGGCGGGAAGCGCCGGCCCCCGCACCCTCTCCCGCCGCCGCCCGCGGGCGCCGGCGGAGGCGCCGCTTACCTGAGCTCGGAAGTAGAGGAAGAGGGCGACGCTGCAGACCACCTGCCCCAGCCCCAGGAGGACGAGGGCGGCGAGGAGGGAGCGGGAGGCGGGCGGCGGGTGCGGGTGTGCCGGCAGCGGCGGCGGTGGCGGCGGCGGCGGGGCGCTCTCGTGGGCGGCGCCGCTGCCCAGCTCCTCCGAGCCGCGCAAGTACTTGGTGTAGTCTCGGCTGGCGCGCCGCATCGCAGCTCCGCTCCGCTCCGACGGCTGCACACAGGACTCCACGCAGCTCCCCAGGGCCACCAAACAACCCCACAGCCCCGGCCAGGCACCTCTTATAAACTGGGCGGCCAATCAGCCCCGGGCGGCGCGCCCCTGCCGCCCTCCTCCTGCGCCCGCCCGCCGTCGCCACACACATCACCGCCGCCCCCTCCTCGCCTCCCCTCCTCGAGCACCGACCGGCCCCCGCCGGCCCGGGTCGGGCCGGGTCTGTCCCGCCCCTGCCCCCGGAGTCCCTGCCCCCCCCTTACCCGGGCTCATCGCCCGGCGGTCGCGGTCGGCGCTGCTCCTCCCCTCCTCCATGAATGAGCAGCGCAGGCAGACCTGCCTCCGCCAGCTCGTGCCCCTTCCTCACCCTTGGCCCCACTCAGGTTTGCACTGCGCCCAGGCAGCTCCGTCAACTGAGGCCTCTCTGAGCCCCTAGTTGCATCTGGAAGGTCCTTTTTCCTCGAAATTCCCACGTACCTGGAATCAGCATGCACCTCGAGTGGGTCCCATCATTAATCCCTGACCCCTTTGGTGCACCAAGCTCCTCAGGGCCTGTCAACTCTTCCTTGTCTCACTCCCTCCTCTCTCAGGCCAGGCTAAAATGAGCACAAATGACGTTGACTTGTGCTGTCCAAAAGAGGCATCCCTAGTTCACAGTTTTGTTAAAGGAATGGGGTAAAGAAACAGCAGAGGTGTGCTGGTACACGGCTGCTGGTGAAACAAGCTCGGAGTCTCCCCATCTCCCCACATGCAGCCAGTCTGCTACAGGCACGTTTCTGAACCTTTGGTTAGGAACATCTTATGGCGTTTCCCATGTCTCAGCCTGCATTCCACACCAAAACTTCTGCATAAAGCCACGCTACAGTTTGTAGGCACTTTCTTTCTCATGGTCCTCTTGGGGTTCCATTTAAGACAAGTGTATACTTACTCATTTAAAGTTTGCCACCTTCTAGTCCTTCCTGCCTCCAAATAGGCTTTCCTCTATCCAGACTTTGACTCATCAGTTTATCTGTGCTTTGGGATTCACTGTCTCTTGAGTAGATAGAGTTTATGTGCCTGACAAGTTCCCTTTGTGGAAAACATTCTCTTAATTCCTATGAAAGTGCTCGTTGCAATGGCAGTGCAGGTGCATTAGGTTTGCAGCCCTGTAAAATTCAGTAGGGAAATGGTTCAGACATAAAAGCAAGTGAGGTGAAGCATGGCTAGGTCTTTAAAGAACATGGGAGACTGACACAGATCTATCTGGTGGGTCATTTGCCTGTAGAAAAAAAGTCTAATTTTAGACTCTGGATATATAACACAATATCCTGTTTAGGTCTGCCTAAGCTAAGAAGATGATAAACTTTACCTCCCAAAGAGTTTGACTGAACCAGACAAAATTATGTGCTCCAACAAATTAAAGGAAACTAAAACTCACCAAACCACCATGCAACAAATTACTATCAAAACAAGCTGATAACATTTAGCACTGGACCCAAATAGTGCAATGGCAATTCCTTCACCAACAGTGAGACAACATCTGAGAAATGATGATGACAGCACCTGCATACCAACATCACCCACCAGGAAGTCATGGAGAAATACCCCAACCTTGAATAGCTCCCCATATATCTTCTTTCTCCATGCTTACTTTTATGCTCGGAAACATTGGGAGCATTGTGGTCTGTAGTCCAATTAGGGGAATTGTTCCTGTAAGTGTGTCTCAACTTTTGTGAAAACAAAATGAAGGTAAAATAGCCACCATCACCTGTAAAAAAATCATGAAAACAATCTCACATTATAATGAACTGGGCATTCCTAAATCAATTTTACATTGGTCTACAATAACAATTCCTTCAGAAATAATTTTTTGGAAGATACAACCGGGGTTTTTAAGAGTCTACATAGTTTTTAAAATCCAGTCATCAATTAGTTATTAAACAGTTGAAAAAGGATAAGTTAGGATAATATCAGTGATGTGAGCAGATTGTTTTATTTTTTGCTTTCATATGAGAAGGAACTCAAGAAAGACCTCTGCTCTTTTCACCATAGAGTTTATATTTCTTCCTAATGAAGAAGGAAAAAATTGTATTAAGTCTTTCCATCTTAAGGTGCTCTTCTAGGTTCTTACAGAAGGAAACAAAAGGAGACTTTCACTGAAGAGCTATGAGGATTTGCAGACACCATCTTTAAATATTTTGTGAAAACAACTTTCTCCAGACAAACATACTTCCTCCACAATCACTGCTTCATAAACCGCCTTCTCACTGGCACCATCTTTAGTATTACCATCATGATGCTACACCAGGGAAGCATTACTCCTCACCCAATGCCTGAGTAACATCAGCCTTCTAACTGGTGTCTTATATATGCCAGTCTATTTGACACTTAATAATCGAACAGTCAAGCCCACCTGTTTCATCTTCATCCACAACAATTTCATCCTCACAAAATTACAGAAGCAACTACAAGCACCCAGGTACTTGTATGCAAGCACCAGGATATCAAGCTCTTCAGGAGACACTTCAAGGACAAGATTAATCTTCCTGCCAAAGCAACATGGGTTCCTAGGATACACTAGGGTACATAAATGACATCTGTACTGAAAACTTGGATTCTCTTATTGATTTCTACCACAAATTCAGCAACCAGAATTGTCCAGCAAACTCACTCTGGAAAACTTACATCAGCATCAACTTTCTAGACACCAAGGTCAACACAAAAAATAGCAACTGTCAAACTACCATATGCAGAAAATCCACAGACCAGCACATCTCCTTCCACAAACCATCAGCTATCCAAAACACACTAGAAAAACTGATATAGCCCACAGACATCACCTCATTTGCTCTGAGGAAAACACTCATGACACACCCTCACAAAGCTACAGATGATGCTTACCCAACAGTGACACTCCACTAGGATCACATATTTGAAGAAGCCACCTAAACCTTATCCAAACTTACTACAAGACAAAGAGATAATCCCCTAGTGGGTATCATATACCACAACATGCAAGAAATGTATACTGGAAAATGTTAACAAGTTGTAGCTTACATTGGACTAAAATCATACCTTGAAATTATTTTTCCTAGAAACACCCCTCTTTCCCTTCAAACCACACTTATTACCATTAGCTCCGTCACTGAAAGCAAATTTTGGCAGACCAGTAGATGCTGGCTAGAGCCAGATAGCTCAAGAAAATTATCCAAATATTGCCAGGCCCTCATGATAAACATCTGCTAGAGCAGAAGCACCGAAATATACAGATCCTACACATAAACATCCTGAAATGCCATAGGCATCATGGAATGCATTCACTCCTCTTAGGGAACTCTGTGGGTGAAACTGAACAACCACTATGTGCTACCTAATTAGGAAAGAACAGTGACAACCAGTTACACTTTGGAAAATTATATTCCCAAAACAACTCTCGCATCTCTAAGCTTGCAGTCCTGACTCTGCAAGATCAAACATGGGCCAGAGAACTGAAATGTGCAACTCTATGAGATACCAGATTCCATATCAGATTAATTTGAGAAAGACTTCTGGGTTTCCCCAATTCTGAAGTACTTCATCTATGTGAAAATGAATCTGCTTTATCTAATGTCTGCTTTACACAATTGCCTCTGTTGGTCTAATAAAAGATATTTGCTTCTGAAAAAAGGTGGCATTCTTTGGATTCTGTGAGGACTAATAACATACAAAAAATTTCCCATGAACTAAGTCCTGGCTCTATAAATGGTAAAGGATGGGCTTGCATGAGAACCTCATTGTGATTCTGTGCTTGCAGATAATCTCACTGTAGATACAAGTAAGTAACCACTATATAATGTGAACTCTTGGCCCCTGAGCAGAACACAGCTCTTTGCTATTGTCTACAAAATACTTGTGTTGCAGAAGATGATCACAAATATCCTACTTGTTGTGATAAGAGTGCATAGCTGCTAGGATTTTTTTCATCATTTTGCTTTGAAGCAAAACAGGAAACTGTGTTTACATAAAAAGGCTGTGTTGAAAGTAGTTCTCATTGCAACATTGATTCTCACTGCAGAGTTGAAAGTCTTGAAAAATCTGAAAATTTCATAGAGCAACAAGCCTGCAGGTCAAAGTAAAAAATCAGGAAAAAAAATCCATTTTGTTTGTTTGTTTGGGGGCTTTTTTTGATTTTTTTTTGTTTTGTTTTGTTTTGTTTTGTTTTGGGGGGGGGGTTAGTTTTAGTATTTTCTCTTTCAAAATAGGGAGAATCACAAGAAGTTCTTCTCCTAATCTTCACTTCAAATAAGACAGTGTTTTTTACGTTGAGACAGATTATGCAGCTGAAATATTCCATATTGGTAAAGCAGTTAAACACGTTTATATTTTTACACCAGTAAGATTTTATTCCTGTGGACAAATGTTTGTAACTAATACAGCCTGGTGTTACTATTGGTTGGAATATTGTCAGCAAAACTACTTCATCAGCAAAAGGTTGTTTTGGACCTGATACAAATGTATTAATTTTGAGCATGTTTTGGACAGTAGAGTTTCCAAGGAACAGCACAGACTCTTTAGGTGATAGAAAGAGAATCCTGTACTGAAATTCTGATCTACTGAGTGTGAATAGGGATGTTTTGATGCAAGCAGTGAAAGTAGGCAGAGATGTTTTCCATGCATGTTAGGAGGAAATGAAATTCTGCAACCTTCAAAATTGTCATGAGTTGGACTTTACCATTTTTTTTCACTTTCAAATGCTATATAGTGATTATTATAAGTAAATATGTAACTGTAATGAGAGTGATGACAAAATATGACCAATAACACAGAATGCCTCACTGAAAATTTAGGCTTTTATTTAAAATACTATTCTAGAAAAGGCTGGGAAACAGCAACTGATGTACCAGGAAATAATTACTATATTTTAAAACAGTGGAAAAATGCATTAAAATGTCATTTAAATTTTCCAGCAAATTACCATTCTGCTTCTTTCAAGTGGGTATGACAAAGGTCAAAACAAT